AACATCGCCGCGGGCGCGGCCTAGTGGTGCACTCAGTCGCCGGACGCGGTCTGTAGAGCAATCATTACGTTATTCGTCTATGTATCGCTTGCAATATACATATAGCTAGAAAACATACATATTTATGAGCGTGATGTGCTCGTAGCTCTCAGTGTTTGTATTTTAGAATATTGTAGAGTCGTAACATACATCCTACACTGTTAAGGGCCTAAGGTTAATCATTTAAGTAAACCTTAAAATTAACAATTATACGATTCGTTGAGATTGATATTTGACTTATGTTTTCGTTAATTACACTTATTTTTTAAATTTTGGAAGTCTAAGTAATTTTTTTTACTAAGAAGTAGTAAAGTAAATTTCCCTCGAGGAAGCTTATGTATGTACACCACACAACCCTGTTATTACCGATTTCTTGGATATATTGTATTACGTACACAAACATATGTTTTGTTTGAATATTAACAAAATCCTGTAATTTACTAAAGAAGTAAGTAAGTGACTCCAGTGTAACGTTAATTTGTCGACAGCGCGGAACTACCGCGCCGGCACGTGTACATTAATTATTCGTAGCGACAGATCGCCTCGCGACGCTCCTACTTGTTTTACGTAGATTTTATTTTACTTCACTAGAGATGAAGACACTAAATTGTATGTGTTTCAAATTATGAAAATATTTTAAGCTATAACGTTGCCTGATCGATACATAACGAGGATAATAATTCTTATTTGACAATAAAATAGGCATTAAACAGAGTCTAAAATCTAGTAAAATTGAGAAATTTACTTTCTTTTTCTTTGGAACATTGAACAAATTTATTAAAATCAAACGTATTAATACATATGTACCTACATATCCACAGATGCTCAAAAATGCTGACTTTATGAAGAGTAAAGTAACAGAAACTGGAAAATGGGAGAGTCCATAATATAATATTGGGAAATATCAAAAATATAAGTATCGTATTATATTTTCATGATTCATCTCAGTTATTACAGAAAATACTTCATATGGCAATATCCTTCTAACCTAATATAATAAAACTAGAGTGAATAAACATTAGAGGTAGCTTCGAAAGAGTATACAATGTAGCTCGCGCTGCCGCCGCCGACATCACCGCGGATAGTAAACTGTTTACAGCATTCATTGATACTCGTAATGTCAGCGCGGAGCCTCGCTCCTGATAATCAATAGATACTCATTTCTTTTTTACTTTTTATTGGATATTAATATTTGGTTAATTCGATTTATCGAAAGTTTGTCAATCGTTGGTTGATTTGATTTATATTTATAATATGATAAAATTAGGATGTTTTTTTTTTTAAATTATAACAAATTAAAGAAAATCTATCAAAAATATTGAAATAAAAGCCAGGCAACTTTGTCTGCTACAGGATTGCGTACAGTCACACAATATGATCGTTAATATAAAGAATATAGTATTCATGTAGCTTTAAGCCTGGGAATATAATGACATCATTTTATGACTATTCTTACGCTACGCTATTTATCACACAATTATTTAAAGTAGAATACAATACCAACCGTGAAGTCATTTCGTTTACTGTGAAGTTCATCGTCGTCGTTTAGAAAGTACTCGTTATTTATATAGGACATATATATGTATGTATGTATGTATGTATGATATGATGTATTCTGTACCTACAGTATAGAGTATCTTTACATTCTTCTATTCCAATGCAATATGTAGCAGTTTCAACAATATGCAAAGGAAGCGCGCCCTCGTTTCGCAGTGTTTGCTCCGAGTGGCGCCGCGGCAGCACTGCGCGGACCTGGTGCCGGCTAGGGTTGCTACCCTACATCTATTTCACTCAACATATTTTAAGTATATTTGCTATTTTGAGTATAAAATATTCTGCGACGGACTTTGGATGTGTGAAATAATTAAAAATAGTAAGTTGGACATTATATGTAGATAACATTCATACCGGAAGTAATCATAAACTGGTAATATTTATGAGTTTTATGGAGAATTTTACCGTGAAAGTAACCCCATGGTGGTTGTAGCCTACCTCGGCAGGCCAGTGGTTGAAACGTCGTGGTTGAGTACGTTACTGAATTTCCCCACGTTAAAAGAAATGTAATTTTGTAATTGCTTTTAGGCTATTATAATATTAAGTAAAGACTGCTAAAATAATTTAATTTAAAAATGCTGATAAAATGTTTAGTCCCCCTGAGAATTTTGCAAATTGTTTTTTGGAGCTCGAGCACTCAATATTAACAACACAAAATATTTAATACAGAATTCATTTTTGGGCTTTATTTAGTCTCAGCAATTAAGTCAAAATCATTACAAATAATATGATTTACAATTGTATGTAACCGATATACAAAATAAAATATTACTTTGGTTTATATTAACAACTATTACCCTGTCCTATGCTAAGGCCATGTACGACTTGTGGCTAATTCTTTCATGGCTAACGCTGTGCTAAATTTTGATGTTAACTAAAGTTAATGTAAAAGTATGAACTGGCTTCAGTTCAAAACAAAGGTACTTGTGGACGGCCTCAGGAGTGCGGGTGGCAACCATACCGGGGCGAAGTGGGACGCACACACGGGACGAGTACGAGAAGATTAGGCAGGATAAAAATGCTAAGTCGGCGTACTAATGAAAGTTAAATCGTAGCGACTTATATCGTGGAGTTTGTTGGTGAAAGAAACTTTTACTCCGCTCAGAGATTAGATAAAACTTAGCACACAAAGATGATATCTTTTTATTCTTTTTAACTTTTTTTTCTTCGTTATTTCTATTTCTTCGTTACTTCGGTATTTTGAGGCGATAATAAAATATTATTTTATCGTCGCTTAGTTTTATGTTTAATAATCAGTTCTTATATTCTTCTTCTGTAATATATATACGGAATACGAGGTAGATAATACTTTTTGAGATTTATGCGAATATTTGACATATATACTAATATTATAAAGAGAAAAGATTTGTTTGTTTGTACCGAATAGGCTCCGAAACTACTGAACTGATTTAGATAAAATTTGGTTTGAAGCCCTAGGAAAGACATAGGATAGTTTTTATCCTGACAATCATCCCTTACCATTTTAATTAAAATTATTTTATCACATTTTTTCGTGTCATCGTGTTTTTTCGGATGCAATTTCTATTTCTAAAAAATATTGTATAATCTTATGGGTTGATAGTATCTGTGATTATATAATAACATTGAGACTTTTAGTCTTTTAGAGAGAAATTTAGTCTCTACGGTGTATCTCGATTGCTGTATAGTATTAGAAACGCCGGGAACCAAATATCCGCGAAAGAATCTGAAATAATAATTTTATTTAAAAACGAGGTGGCTATTTTAAAATCACAGACCGATACTGATACTTTTATTGCTATATGTTAATTTTATTAGAAGTGACGATATGCTGAACTGATACTCCGATAGCGTTTGCCTCGCGAAGCCACACCAGAGGCTGCCCCCCTCTTATCTTTATTGCCACTTGGCTTAAAATTCGGGCAGATATTTCCATACTTCTTGCCTTTTATTGGATCACTATTAGTCTCGCCCTCGTTCCACTCGACTCGGATATTGTTTTATCATCGTTCAATATCCTGTTGTATTTATTTGTTATGATGCTACGTAAGGGGTTTAATTAAAACCAAGTTGCAAAATGCGTAGTGAGTGCCTTTTGAAGTTCCTGTCACCTAAAAATGAATTACTTGTAAACCGTAATGTAACAATAGCACTAAAATGAAAAATTAAAAAAAAAACCAACACAATAACACATTCATTGGGGTCATTTCAATAAGCCTAAACACGGTATATCTGTAGTATTTTAGTAAAGAGCTGAAAATCTTGCAATTTCCAGGTGATGCTGCAGCATCAGGCACATATTAACAAATCTTTGCAATGTCATTGATTGATTGATTGTAATGGAATGCCAAGTTTCGAATAGATTAGATTCGTGAAAGTAGATCATGTTCTTTCGCCCTCTAGAAAAGAGTTGATGGCCTGCGAAAGAATTTTCTTGATTTATTACTAAGAACACTCTCGATTAAATATCATTCCAAATAAAAAAAAAACTAAATTGAAATCGGTTTATCTGTTTGGGCGCTACGATGCTACAGACAGACACACAAAAACACGCGATAAACTTATAACACCCTTTTAAATAAGTAATTTAACGTTTTGTAATTTTATAACCAAGAATATGTAGCCTTAAAATAGTCGCGACCATTCCCGGATATTTGGGCGGCAATATCGCAGCAAACATCAGGTTCATGTTTACCGAAGCAAGAATTTTCAGTTTAAACCAACTCCGGCAGTCGCTTTGCCGGCAGGCGTGGGAGCTTTTGAACTTATAATACAATTGTTTACTATAGTTTATTTTGCTACTAGAAGTTTCTTAATCTATACATATAATAAAATTGTAACTAAGCCGAATCTGTACATGAAATATTTTTTAGAAAATCTTATTGAAATAGAGATTATTATCGATCGATACAGAGGTCGAATCTATAGTTTTTAGAATTTTTGTCTGTATGTCTGTCTGTCTGTTACCGTATCACGGAAAAACCACTGGAGGGATTTTGATGAAATTTGGTATGATGATAGCTGGTTATTCGGGTAACATATAGAATACTTTTTACTGCGGGAAAATATCTCATTTCTGAGAAAAAATACAAAATCTGCAATGTTCTTACATTGCATGTATACTAATATGTAAAAACTAAGAATTTGGTTTTTGGTCATCTGAGCGCGGGCGAAGCCGCGGGCAATACTAATCAATAATATTATGCCACTTCAAATGCACTTTAAAAACATAATATTGCCATGCCATGTTTTTTTCATAGATATAATAAAAACTATACTTGGCTCCTTCCACATAAAACACACAACTACGTGTATTGAGAACAAATTAAGTGTTAATTCATCACTTATATTGAACTTATAACCCTCGGGTGGCTCGTAACGTCGAGCCATCCATCAAGGCTAATGTGAATGTAAATGTAGATGAATCAGAGACCATAGTACATTAAGCAATTAGCCGACGCCGGGAGACGCCGAGAGAGACGCAGCATCCCTCCGCGCTTGTAGCGCAGAGCACGTCCCGCGAGGCCGCGCTGCATCGTAATAGGTTCACGTCTCTGAAGATTATAACAAAAATAATAAAAACTAGCACGACATACTGTTATTATTATAAATATTAATTTTTATTATTAATTTTTATTACATTAATAGGCTTAACTCAAAAAAAAGTAAGTAACAAACAACACACTACTCGAGACAGTCTCAATTGAAAGGTCACGAGTTCGATCTCAGCACAAATGTATGTATATACTGATCAGCGTATGTTTAGTGTGTATACATTTTATCTTGCAGAAGAGAAGAAAAAAATAAAGTTTCGTTAGCGTTCAAGTACCTACCTAATTGTAAGCCTTTATAATTGAATCTTTTCGATTATAAAGGCTTCTAATTAGGTTTAGGGTCTTGCTTTCCTCAAGTTTTCGGTTATCTTTTATATTTTTATATTTATTGATTTACTTTGAAAATATAGAAGTTAAGAAATGATACGAGTATATGAGTAGTGGTTTCAATAATTTATTTATATTTCAATCAGCAAGGCCACAAGGAACAGAATGTTCAGTTTAAGTGGCAAGTGTACCTCGTGTTTGTATTGAATGAGCTCAAACAAGAAGGAGCAGTCGGAAGTCGCTGATGGAAATAAAAGTTACATATACTTTGAAATCTGAATGAGTTGTGAACAGGTGCGGGCGGCACTCGGGGGAAATTTGCCAGTCGACTTGCGGTGAATAAACCAAAGACTCGCCTCTAACCTTATAAACCACTGTTTACCGCATGTTTTGTACATGAAAATAACGTATTACACTATTCCGCTGAGTTCTCTCGTTTAAATTATGAGCATAGTATGCTGTGATGGTGGACCTTTATTCATCAAAATACTTAACCAAAGCTTCGCATATAATATCAGGTAAAAAATATAAAATATTTATCTTTTGAGTAACGTTTCTTATATTTCAAGTTAGTATAATTTCAGATTACAAGTTTAAAAAATATATATTTATAAATATTATATTATTAAAAAAATATTTAGAAAAAAAAAATACATAACATTTACATCGCATTGGTTCATTGTGCTTCTGTAATATTTTTGTAGTACGAGTAATACAATAGAGTGTTTCTGAAATTAATAAAGTGGTATTTAGTTTGGCAACAGCGTCGGACGAGAAGTTGCAAACTGCCGCGTGATGAGTTCGCGGCATGTGGTGTTACTTCGGTCTTCAAAATGCTAAAACTTATTTTTTATTTTATTTTATAGCATTTCGTTATAATTATTTAAGAAAGAAAGCCCTTGGATTATTACAAGTGAATGCACGTTATACTAATTAGCTACAAATTGAAGGTTATTCATGAAATAATATTTTATCTTCTTAGGTGATGAAAATTAAAGAGAAAATATGTTTCTAATAGATGAGAAATAAGGCTTTCCCACTTTGCATTTTCTTCACATTTACTGCTTTCAACAATTATATTGTACAATTTCTTTTCATTGTAATATAGTATTTTAAAATTAAACGCGACCTATTTATTATTTCTATTCTATGTAATGTAATGAGGTAAAAAGCCACCTAAGTACTACTCTACGGCGTACAATCTATTACTTTGACTCTCCCACGACGATCCACGCCTCATTGCCACTTGAAATTACAAGTATAATATTATGTTATATACTTTGCTTCTAATCAAAACATTGATTAGAAGCAAAAAAAAAACTGGTTACTTTCTTAATAAAAATAATTACATAGATTTGTAAAGTCATTTAAAAAATTGTTTCCGAAACAGCTCCTATACGTAAAGCCGTAAAATGGAATCTGGGCCGCTTTAATACTTACTTATGCTAAAGCGTGTCCCGAGATGACCCTTAAAGCTTGCAGTTAGTTAAGTGCGGTACTGTGGCTGGTGGCGGCGGCGGTGAGTGGGCGAGTGGGCGATCGGGCAAGCGCACTGACTAAAGGTAACGCTCTACACTGGAGTGCTCTTCCATCGAGCCCGGGCCAGCCACTAGCCTGCACCTACTGAGCCATATATATTTATTTATTAATGAAGAGATATTTTGATTTTTATCTACTGTTATCACGACTTTAACTTACAAGCATTGTAACCATATGCTTAGAATTAAACAATTCAAAAGTGTGGTAACTGTTAGTATCAGTAAATGGAACATTCTTCACCAATAATAATAATTATTGAATAACACGTACACATAAAAAGAATGTCAGATCATAAAGGAAGTTGTAAAATAAATATTAAAAATAAAGTTCAATATCGAATATGGAATTTTATTATATAATATGCTCGTTGCCTCATAAAGAAACTCTTTAGAAAAAGCTTGGCTTTACAAGTTTAATTAATGATAATCGAGTATACATACATACTAATTAATATTACTAAGGATTCATTAAATATAATTCATTTAAATTTCAAGAATTTCATATTTTATGTGGTCTACATTTTGAGGTTTAAAAATAATATGAAAATTAAAATATACAGGAGACATCCGCTTACAGCGCAGTGTACTTAATCTGATTACTGAGGCGGGACTTACGCTTGGAATTACGAACATGTACCTATGTTATTTAATTTTTTGTTTTTATTTTAATTTGTAAATGAAGTAAATTTTTTTCAAATCAAAATAGGTACAATTTATTTACAATAAAGAAAATTACAAATATATTTAATTACTTGTTAAATTAAACAAAATTCAATATGTCGTCAAGATATATAAAGCTATGTATATTGTATAGTATTTCATAATGTAGTTGAGATCTGCACCCAACACACATGTAGATAGGTAGAGCTATATTTCTTTCTCTATCATTCTCTCTACCTTCCACATATAGCGTGAAGGTATCTATTTATATGAAATATTAAATAAAACTGACTCTTCGGATTTTTTCGCGGATTTATTTTGAGTTCTGGTTCCCGACGTTTGAGGCTAGATCTCGAATGTTTGATTGTTTCGAGCAATCATGGTCTCTCCCGTGATTATGATTGCTGTAAAGCATTTTAAACGTTGAAAACCAAAAATCAATATAAATACGCGAAAAAATCCGAAAAGATAGTTTTATTTAGAACTAGCAGAAGTTTCGGAAACTTTCATCCCCTGTTTTATTCTCCTATCGGATGAATTTCGAAAAATGCTAAAACACGTATTTATTTAATTTTATTGAAGAGCATTAGTACCAAGTATCGAATAATTTTGTTCATAAATATTTTTTTGGATTGTGTTATAAGGTGTTTGCCCATGCGAATTAGATAATCTCTTCAGCCCTCTAACTATCGCCACACAAAAAATTCCGCCAATCCGTCACTCCGTTTTGACGTGAAAGAAGGACAAACAAACAAACAAACAAACAAACAAACACACTTTCACATTTATAATATTCAGTATATGGATGAAAAATATTCGCGTAAATCTTAGAGAGTATAGTATATGATGCTTTCCTAAATCAGAATTCATTTATTCATTTACATTCTTGGGCAATAGAAGATGCCGATTACGTTTATTGGCACGCTCGCCGTGTGCCGCCGCGTGCCGCCGCGTGGCGGGCACGCCGCGGCATGTCAAGGCGCATTGCTCGACTCTTACATTAAACTATTTACTGTTTCTAATTTCACTAGATGTTATCGTAATACGAATGTAATTTTTTAAAATCCCTGATACAGTTATTTTTCCTTGCTTATGTATTAAGCCCTTTTTAACGTCCCACTGCTGGGCGCGCCGCGCGGGCCTCCCTTCATAACCTGCATGTGTACAGCACAAGCTGTATAAAGAATATCATTGTTTTCAGGGAAATTTTACTAAAGTGCTTTTGACGTTGATTCAGTATTTTATGCGTTCTATACAAAAAAAAAGCTGTTAATATTAATACTACGAGATTACGCTTTTAAAACTTCGTTACCAAATTAAAATCGTTTTCAATTAGTTTCTGCGCTTAAACTATAACCAAAAAATGTTCGACTCAACATTTTTTATTCAGGTATAAATAAAATTATAAAATTTCTAATGCGATTGAATATCACTTTTTAAATCTGCACGCTAAATTCAGATAAGAAACACAACTGACTTAGAACCTCCTCTTTAAACTCAGTTTAAAATGATAAAAAAAACGAAAGCCGATGTGAGACCCGCTGCGGGACGTCGGGTGGTGCATGAAAGCTTATTATAAGTAATAACATGTCACGCAACGTCTATAATTACAAATGCGATAACACTATCGTAGCGCGGTCTGATTCCGACTCGTTCGTTGAAGGATTAAGGACTACGGCCTGGTGAGGGTATAATAAATAAATAAAAATAAATAAGTCGGGACATTAACACACAGCACCATCTAGTTCCATGGTAAGCTACGAGGCTTGTGTTATTGATACCAGATTGTTGATAAACTACACATATATAACTTTAAATACATAAATATTATAAATATAAAAAGCTATGACTGTCGTACAAACATTCGCGCTCATCACACAAATGAATGCCCCCAGCGGTTCTCGAACCCGCGACCGCTGGCACAGCAAGCAGGGTCACTACAAATTGAGCCAAACATGTCGTCAAATGACCACTGGCTACTAACTACCGCTCTAAATCTGAATGTGAAGCCACTGTTTCATTCAATATTGTTCATTTCACACTACCTTTGTTTAATTGATCGTATTTGAGATGTACGAAATAAAAGAAATCACTAGAAAAAGTATACTATATTATCCTTAATTTAAACTCATGTATCTATAATATAATAAAATTCTAATCGAGTCGAATCCGTAAATTAAATATTTTTTGGAAAATCTTATTGAAATAGTCATTAATATCGATACAGAGACCGAATCTACAGGTTTTAGAGTTTTTATCTATCTGTCTGTCTGGGAACGCATCACGAGAAAACCAATAGACGGATTTTGATGAAATTTGCTATGATGATAGCTGGTTATTACGGTCAACATATAGTGTACTTTTTACTGTGGAAAATAAAAATAGATATTTTAAATGAGAAATCTGTACTAAACGTTAAAACGTACCTAGGGATGCACCCGAGCGGAGCGAGGGTGAGTCGCTAGTAACTTATAAAATTATATTATGTTTTTTAATATTATGTATTAAGTCTTAACTCTTATGTTAGTATAGTCATCATAATTTTTACATCTTTTAATTTAAAATATCTGTATTTATTATAATGAACTAAAATTAATCAAAATTATTTATTAATATATAAAATATAAATCAATATAAACACAACGCAGTTGATAGCAATATTTTTTTTTTGATAATCAAAAACATATGTGAAACAACTATCGTGAGGACTGAGAGTGTGAGTACGAGTAACGATCCAGTGTGCTATTTTATCAATAAATAAATACACTAGCATTGCCCGCAGCTCCGCCCGCGTTTAGATTACTAAAAACCAAATTCATAGTTTTACATATTAGTATACTCTTACAATGCAGTTTTTGTATTATTTCTAAGAAATGAGATATTTTCCCGGGGTAAAAAGTCCTATATGTTGACCCGGATAACCAGCTATCATCATACCAAATTTCATCAAAATCCCTCCAGTGGTTTTTCCGTGATGCGGTAACAGAAAGACAGACAGACAAAAATTCTAAAAACTATAGATTCGGCCTCTGTATCGATAACAATGTCTATTTCAATAAGATTTTCCAAAAAATATTTAATGTACAGATTCGGCTTAGTTACAATTTTATTATATGTATAGATTAATAAACGAAAGTAATAATTGGATATTTTATTTAAAGTGCTATTTTAATACTCAAGTACAGTACGAATGTATGAATGATTCTGGAACTAAATCTGCTACTTCCTGTAGAGGACAGAAGTAAAAGTTTTCACGGAACACAAGTTTATGTTGCTTCTTATATCAGGACATCGGGATAGGCACAGGCGGCGAATGTATTATATATTTGCAGATTTGCGGATATAATACAAGGCGGATATAATAAATATAGATTATTGTAGCAGGTTATAAGTAATAGTAAAACAAATACGACAACAGTATCGCGCCGTCGCGCCGACTCGTCAGGCGCCAGGGGATTAACCGCCCCGACATCGTCCTCACGCTGGATGTAGCACCCGATGCGGCTTGAAATGCGAAGAGATTGAGCGTGTAATTCATATAAAGTACTGGTTACCGCCTGTGTCTATGTCCGTTTTTGTTGTTCCATTTTAATCATAACCATTTATACTAAC